TCCCAAACCCTGATCGACGCTTGACATGTTCTCTGTTTCAGGTGACCCCCACATGACCGGCTTCCTGGGACAAAAGTTTGACTTCACGGGAGAGGACGGAGGGTGGTACTCCGTCATCGCCGACTCCAACATGAACGTCAACATGAGGATCACGTCCCCCGTCGCCGACCTGCCCGAGATCACCTACATCACCGGTAGGCGTTCGATGAACCTTCACATATGTACAGCTATTGAAGTAGGGATTCCAGTTGCGCTACATTGTATCGCGACTCGATTACCACCTTTCGGCGCAGCGAGTAGAACGGAGTGATGTGTACCAAAGGTGGGTACTCGATGAGCGTTGATTCCTCTGTTCCTAGAACCGTTGATACACGCATTCGACGGAATACGTTTGCCAGCGCATCCACAATCAACAGCAAACAGTGGTTAGCCGAGGGGGGCGCCAGAACCTGTAACGAGACCGCCTGTAGCTCTCGAGCAAGTGGAACTCAAATGTCCGTTAGACAATGGATGACAGAATTTTGTTGTGGGATAGGAATACCGTTTTACTCCCCGGGGCCGCACACACGCCATGTCCTGTGATGTGACCCTCGTTTGTTGTTGTTGGCCCCCTCACGGCGGTTGCTGGTGCGAGCAGGTCTGTCCGTCCTCACTACGGACACCGACGGTGTCGACCACAGCATCGTCATCGAGGTCGCCAACCCCCACAGCCTAGACAGCTCTTGCCCGGCCGGAGTTTCGCCCTGCCTCGCGGACGGCGCGCTCGTCGTGCTTCTCGACGGAGAAGAGTCGTTGCTAGCCCCTGGCACGGTTGTTCTCGGGGGAGACGTCGAAGTCTCGGCGGCTAACCTCCCTGGCGCGTGCCGCTCGTTCGGCTTCGAGAAGGTCCGGCGGGAAAAATAGCTGGATGTTATTACGTTTGGCGGTTTTTCACGCCTCGCCTGGTTCCCCCTCTTGCTCTCGGGTCCAGCTTTTGTAGATTTCGACCGCGCCTGCCTCCCCCTCTTGCTGGTCGCCCCAATGGGCAGAGTACCACCCGGAACAATTAGTTGTCGGGCTACTGCAACATTTTGACGTAAGACCAATCGATATCGCTCTCACACCATTACTGCATCTGATTTTGTTTGCAGTACTGGGAGCGCAAGAAGCTCGAGAACGCCCGCACAGGCCGCCGCCTGCGCACCCCGCCGAGCATGGGCGAATGGATCCTCGGGGTAAGATATGATTGACCTACGGTGTAGTTGTTGGGTAAGGTGTGGGGTACAGGGGCAACGCCTCGTAACCACGAGCAAGGTGTTAAAAGGTAGAGAGCACAGCATTGGCCGGTCGGCGTAGGAATGATAGACCATATCTGCAACAATTTTCTCGAGGCAAGCTATACCCGTCAATATGACCACCGTCGTGTACATCGACAGATGCCCGTCTATTGGCGTGATTCGTTCCCGCGAGTGGCGTGCATGGATAGATGCGTCCGTTTTTCCCACCGCAGGTGTTGCTGCTTTGTTTTCGCATGGCACGCAGCAACCCAGCCCCGACCTAGCTTTTCTTCAATGTTCGTTTTCACACATGAAGAAATATTTTAAACCAACCTCATTGTCATCAGCCAATATACGACACCGTGTTCTAAAGACACAGGATCACCAGTATCACACCTTACGAATATTCAGTTCTGCCGTGTTGAACCGAGCACTTCGGAGGCCATCCTCCTCCCGGCCACTACTGGTGGTATTGCAGTGATAGCTCAACAGGCCTGTATTGCCTGTTTTGCAGCAATGCCTCAACAGGCCTGTAGACAAAAGGTCGTCGAAAAGGTCGTCGTTCGGTCGGTGTTATTACGTTTTTAACCTTTCCAGTACTTATTGATTTTATTTTTGTTCTTCCAGGACCCCACCGCCACCAACATGAACGAGTGCGTGGAATACGTGGCGCACGCCGAGGCCGAGGAAGGCGGGGTGTTCGCCCACCAGTCCGAGCACGCTTCCTTCCAGATCGTGACTCCAAAGGCGACCGTCCGCCTGAGCCACGGCAGGCTCCACCAGATCGCCATGCGCGACCCGACCGACCGATTCGACCTCCCCGACCACTTGACCTGGCAGATGAACATGGCGATTGACCATAACGACGTGAGATACTTGTATATTTCCATGTAGACATACCATGGTTCAGCCTAGATAGTTTGCCTCAGATGATAATATAGTTTGCCTCAGATGATCATTTAGTTTGCCTCAGTCTCGAAGGGGTTGGAACGGAATGACTGAAAAATAGCCAGCTCTGAATAAATCAAGCCAAAAGTGTTTCGGGTGTCTGTGCTCATTGGGGTACACTGTTCCGCGGCGCGTTGTATCTTGTTGTCGAAAAGACGACAAACAAATCTTGTATCGAAAAGACGACAAACAAATCTTGTTGTCGAAAAGACGACAAACAAATCTTGTTGTCGAAAAGACGACAAACAAATCTTGTTGTCGAAAAGACGACAAACAAACGAGGGACGTAACCTCCGGTCGGGCGTAATTATGCAACTCATTACCGGGGATACCTCCTTGAGAATTACATCACCCGGTTGCAGAACTCACAGTAGGGACGGGGGGGAGGGCTGTTTGCTCGCAAGGTGATTCCTGCGAGAGAGCGCCCGTTTTGAACCTCACCGTGTCGCACATTGCGGGCATGGCCATAGTTCATCCCCTCGTAAGCAAGGAAGGGCGCCAGACATACATGACGATACACTCGAAAAGGAAAACCTCCCAACCGAAAGCGTTTCTTGTTGCTGCTGCCGCTGTACGCAGGTGAGCCACGCTGCCAAGGGCATCCTCGGGCAAACGTTCGTGCCAACGCGTGACTTGGGCGGGAAGCCCATCATGACCGGCTTGGAGGCGATCCGTGGAACGGAGGAAGACTGTAAGTTGTTGGCGGGAATGAATGCCCTTCAGTCGATTTTGATTCTGACGAACGTGCAGTGTACGCGCGAGGCTCAACACGTTACTGCCGCAACGATGTACACGTGTAGGCTGGATATTTTTTCTGCCCATATCTACATTTTTTTTTGGCAAAATTTATTCCATATTTCTGTCCTATCCTACGTTTTTCGAGCCAATAGTGTACGCCGACTCCTTGAGCAGCACGGCACTTGCGTTACCCCCTGTGCTTTCGAGAGCATGCCTAACCTCTGCAAGCACTACAGTACGTCGTCTTTCGGCAGCACGGGCCGCAAGACTTGAATTCATGCCCTTGGCAATTTAATCGTGATTACTATTGATACATCCATTCCAGATACAGCTGTATCAACCTTATCCCCTGGTCGACGGTGAAAACGTTGGGGGTCTGCACCTTGCTGCCCTGAGGGCGTGCCGCCGACCCGTCTCAACAGTCTATGGGCTCGATAAAAGCTATTTCTCCTACGGCTGTGGTCGTCTCGTATGCACAGGCAGCCTGATGGTGCTTCGATCGTTAGTCAACACCACGTAGTATGTAGGGTAGTCGTATGCACACAAGCGGCTGGTTTGGGGGGAGCCACCCGGTTGATCTGCCCCAGGAACCACCCCAAAGCACGCATGAAGAACAAAGAGCTTACATTGTTCAGCCGCGGTTTACTTAGATTCACTGGAATGGACTCCACTCCTAAAGACTATACCCGTCCGGTAGTTGCATTGCAATGATGTACTTGCTCATCGGGCCGAAGTCAGATCGATCGCTGTCGAGCTGTGCCAAGGGTGAGAGACGGTCTCTTCTTTCCACACTCAACTCCGAATCCTGACCATGCATTTCTTGTCACTCGGGAGGTTGGTATTGTGCGATTTCCTCAGACTATAACATTATTGTGTAATAAATAAAAAACGATATTATAGCGTCTCATGGGGGCCCATGAGGCACTATGAGGAACCATGAGGTCGCATGAGCTACTATGAGAACAGGGTCATGGGGTCCCATGTACTCCCACGAGATAGGCCATGGGGCACCACGAGAGCATTTCCGTGTCAGCCCATGGCATGCCATGGCCGATCTCATGGGACTTTGGGAATAGTGAACCCATGGTGCACCATGAGGAGACATGGGGATATAAAACTGAAAACAAAAATAATTATGAAAATAAAAGTGAAGTATCGGACCTCATGGTGTACCATGGGCGACCATGGCGCACCACGGTTAAAAAAATACAGAAAAACAAAAAAAACGGAAAGTTTTTATTTGTTAAACAATCTCATGGGGTACCACGAACGCCCATGAATCTACCAAACCTCCCATAGTGCACCACGAGGACCCATGGTCACTCACGGCGGATCATAAGATATTGGAAAATAATCTTGAATAAACAAAATATAATTATGCCAAATATCCTTGAGTAAAATGGCCATGGTGCCCCATGAGATTTCTCATGAGATTCTCATGAGATCTATGGAAAATGTGTGTCAAGGGGCCTCATGGTGCGCCGTGGTGAACCATGGTGTTTCATGTTAGGTCATGGTGGGTCATGAGATCCAC